CAGTGGTTACTGATTAGCATTTGCTGACCTATTGTCACTCATGGTTAGAAAAGGTAGTTTTTTCACAATGTAGAGAAATAGTTAGGTATTATATTTAGGGATTCTTTGCAGTCAAATGGGGAAAGTGAATTCCTGATGTGAAACACCAAAACCTCTTGCATGTGACAGATTTTTCACAGTCTCATACATGCATGTCTGATTCTCATTAGCATAGTATTATTTACAGCTTGCACTCTTCCAAGAATATATTTTTGTTTTTTATTTAATTAAACATTGCTGGGTGCAGGAACAATTTGGGGATGTGACAGTTTTAACTAGTGAGGTATGATTAGTATGATTTTATTCTGAAAGAACACATCCTCTTGTGTCCTGTGTAATTTATTTTACTTTTTAAAGACACACCTGTAACCTTCTCATTTATTTAATTGATGTTTTGCTCTGAGTGTAGTTGATTTCTCCATCTACGGTATATTTAAAATACTTAAAGTAATGTTAAACAGCAAATGGGCTTTATTATTATATCTGATTGAAATAAGCCGGAAATGGAACTTGAGCTTCCATCAGAAATAACCAGGCTTCTCTGCAGAATGAATAGGTGGGAATGATCCTAGCAGCACAGAAATGATAACTTTCCCAAAATGGCTATTGTTACTTTATTTTCTTGAGCAGTATCAAGAATATCACTATAGATTTTTCACACATCACTGTTACAGCCATATCATCAAGGCTTTGGGCTAAGAATAATACTACATTAAAAAAAAAATCAGTATGAGATTTGCCTTGGATAGAACTCATAGAAGTCATGGGGCAAATTTCTATTGCATACTGGACCTCCATTACAACTAGCCAGTTGTCCTTTGTAGAGAATCCAGTCAGACAGATAAGGTTAGGATTAGAGTTAACATGGTATCCTGAGTAATTTTGATTCTTGTTATTGACTGTATTCATACAGCGTGCTTAATATGTTTATTGAGTTAACCAATTTTTCTGAGTTTGCATAATATATTGAACCACAGACTACCAAATGAACTTGGTTCATACAATATATTAAGCTAGTTAAAAAACCCTACAAAATACTGCAATACACTAAGCTTGTTTAACACTAAACAAGCTTAGTGTATTGTCGGAAGGAAACAATGAGATTCACTCATGAAAAATTCAATTAGCTATTTTATTGTTCATGCCTATAACACAGGAGTCTTCTCAGACTGCTGATTTGCATCTGAGCCAAACTAGATAAGGTTCAATAGCATTCAAGAGGGGTCGGACTTTGCCCTCTTGTGACTATGTAGAGATTCCAGGCTAATTCCCTCTTGATTCCTCCCCTGGATCTGCTAGTCTCTTTCTGACATGTGTTATATAAATGAAGTTTCTAGCTCTATAACTTAACAAGTTAAGTTTTTTGGGTGAAAATTGCCTTTGTCTTTCATCATATATAGACAGAATGGGTGAATATTTTTCCAGTCATTAAGATGCTGATGATTTTCAAAGTCCAGATATCTGTAAAAAAATTGCTATTTTTATCTAGGATGTTTTTTGCTACTTAAAATTTATCTCCCATATAGGCCAGTATTATTAAGAACAGTGTTTCTTATCACCATTCTGTCTTTGTTAACTTTAGGGCAAATTGATTACAAGCCTGAGTCCGTAAGATAGCATGTTCCAATATCAGAGAGGAAATAATGTGAAATGTACATATCAATCCATATTTTTTAAGCAATAGCTTGATGAAGAAACCATAGTAACTTGGTTCACACATAATGCAAATTCCCAAATGCAAGCCATAATAGCTAGGTTCACAAATCACATTATGTCACAAGGAGACAAGGAACAAAGATACTATTTAAGCCTGGTTTTGGTAGAAGATTAGTTTTGGCAGACAATAATTAATACCTGGAGAATGGATGGAGACTTGGAAGTGGAAGGACTACTGTAGAGTCAAGTAGATTCACTGCAAATGATTTTTCACCAGCTGTTATTTCCATTCTTGCTTATCATTGTCCCTCATTCTTCTGAACACGGAGGCAGTAGCTTTCCTATGGCATGGCACAAATGATGGACATATACTGTGGGAAAGGGTATGAGCAAAAAAAGGGAAAATGTTAATCATTTGGATTAAATCAAAATATCCATATTCCTACAGATTTATGCAGAGGGACTTTGGCCCCCAATGTGGTTTCATGGATGCTAGTCTATCAGCAACACTTCCCTTGGTATCCCCAGTTCATTGCTCTACTTGATTTTAATTTTTTAAAAAAATATTTTAATTTTTAAAAATAAAAGGACAGTTACTGTACTGCCGTGCAAAATGCTGGGATTCAGAATGTCACTGGGTAGCCTACTGATCCCAGAGGTATAATTAGGAACACTTCAGTGATTCATTTGAAAAGTGCCCAAAATTTGAAGTTGTAAAGAGCTAGAAAGTATGGCGGGGTATAGTCTCATCAATTTACCTTTAGGTTACTTGGGATTTTGACTGATTACACTTTTCAAGTCAATCTATCATATAGCGGTTGGGAGCAGTAACATATATTATGTATACCCTTAATTGATATCTAGTCTGCATATATAGTTGTGGTAAAACCCATTTGATCATTCTCTTCTGGCTAAAGTAATGGAAGTAAGGGCACAATCAAAGGCCCACTCTTTTAATATGTTTCAGGAAACACAATTTTAAAGGCGGGGAGGGTCTTCATCACTCTGTCATAGCCAATATCTTGCCCTTTTTTTACTTCCCCTTCCCCTGCTTCCCCACTCCCAGCAGATGCCTCTGATTGGGAGAGCAATTTTCTTTCATTTATTCCACGCAACACCCAGGGTGAGTCTCTAGATATGATTATAGTTGCTAGCACCTCATGGAACCAGGAAAACCTTGGTCAATGCAGCCAACACTCAAAGCTGTTCATTTTAAAGTACACAAAAAAGCAGCAAGCAAAACATTCCCTCTTGGAGCTGGATTCTCTCTCCACTATCATGCTAAAAATCAGGAATACCACTGCATTTACTTGGCAGGGTCACTGCCAAGTGCTTTTCAGAGAGATGCACTCTAGTTACTATATTGAAATGAGCAAGCGGTGCATGTGTGTATGCGTCAAGCCTTCACAATGGTTCCACTATATTAGGAATTTATTGATCTCCTTCTAACATTGATTATGTCAGGGTTCCAAGTAACAACACCAAAGCAATCAAAACTCTTGAGCCCTAGAGTTTCCTCAAAATATAAAGCCCAGAGCCCAATGATTGTACTTCCATAATTGAATATGTAAATTCCTGTGGCACTGGGGCATTTGAGTGACAGTGCTTTTGCTTCACACTGGTACCCAAGACAATAGGCCAATCTCTAAGATGGTCTCCAGATACCACAAGCAATATAAATGGCAATTTGCTGTGGAAGTCATTTTCTTGAATCTGACTGGGTTATACCCCAGAAACACATCATGAGCCTGAGCTGGCGGTTGGCGGCGGCTGCTGCTGCTCCTCCTCCTCCTCCTCTGTCTGATGAGTGCAGTTTGCCAACACCTGCTGAGGTGCATAAATGTTGAACCAGTGTTAGCAGCTGTGACAAACTCTTTCCAGCAGTTGTCTTTACAGAACTCTGATGACGTTCTCTCAAAGGTCCTTGTCAATTCTCATTCTCTAGAGGTTCTGAACTTGTTGGCAGGGCTTAAATTTCTCTTCACAACATGCCAGTAAAGAGAGAATCACTATTATTATGATTGTATCCGGCTGAGGATAAAATTACTTTGGCAGTTTTTCCTGCCTTACAATTTTATCCAGGGGCTTTGCTGTTTTTTTTTAAATGTCATTAAATGAGTGGCTGTCCTCCTTTCTTTTGCTAACTAATTGCCTTTAACTTGCTATTATCATTCACAGCAAATATAGCCCAATTTCTCAAAGAGTTAGGAGATACGATCCATTCCTAGTATTGATGTGAAGCAACATTTAACAGGCTTCCTATCACTGCTATGCAGTGTTGAGAGAAGTTGCACACCTGTTACTAGTTTGCATCTGAACTTTTAAAGAGTAGAAAAGCAACTGCTGCATTATTAGCCAATCTGTAGGTGGGTTAGTTGACTTTGAAATCAGAAACTATCAGTAGTGCAGTTTTTCTTGTGCAAATTTCTGTTCCTCTCAGAATATAAAATCATTTTGCACACTTCCTTCAGGAATTCAAATAATTAACAAAATTGTGCCTTTTCTAGTCATTGGACTTCAGCTCTAATACTAGCAAGTATTGCCAAAAGAGCTGAAATCCAACACATGTGGACAGCCCCTGGTTGGGAAATGCTGGTATAGACATTCTTTCCAATGGGTTCCCTCTATCATATTCCTTTCCATTCTCTTGTGAGTCTTAATCATCTCAAATTCAAGCATGTACAAAAATATCTATCACTGCTACATTCTGAATAGCACACGTAAATATGTATATATTCAAATTGTATTTTTTATTAATTTCATTTTATTAATGCCTCTGATATATGCAGACCTAAATTCTTTGTTTTTCTGCTCTCCCTTGGTGAACTTTACAAATCCTTCCACTTTTTACTAATTTCTTAATTACGATAATTTGAACCTGTACGGTGGTAGCAGTCTTGGTAGAATTCTGAAAGGTGCTCATTTTAAAAATACCTCTTGATTATGAAATGCATTTCATAAGGGACTAATACAGAGCACTGACTGGCAAGAGAATGAGATAAACAATTTAATGAAGAAACAGGAGAGTAGGCTGCTTCCAAAAATGTCATAGTCCAGGAAGAACCTTTAGTTTATGAACTAGCTCAATAAATAATCTATACAAAAACTGGAATGACTTTATGCTTTATGGATGAACTGCTAAATAATAGTTTTCCCCAGCTTGGTGCCTCCAGTTTCTGTAGCTAACCTTCAACAAATCTGTAGCCAAAACATTTTGAAAACACCAGGTGGGGAGCTTGTGCTGGGGATTGTGGTTCTGAGACTTGCATATCTCTTCATTGTTGATGTTTCCTTCTTTTTCACAGGGAACTGAATGGAAACAATATCACTCGGATCAGTAAACATGACTTTGCTGGGCTGAAGCAGCTGAGAGTTCTGTGAGTGATTTTTCATAATAAAACATAATCACCTTGCTCCCTTCTCTGTCTCAATATCACTCCAATTTTATGCCAGGTGTTCCCTTTAGTTGACAATGGATCTAGTCCCATAAGAGGATGGGTCCCTGTCTCAAGGAAGATGCATGCTCCTATACAAAGTCAAGAAACATGACTTCCACGTACTAGGGTAATAAGTGTGCCCTTTGTCCTCCTGTTTGTCCCTTTAGATATCCAAGTTCTGATTCTTGTTTATTCTTATAGGCAGCTGATGGAAAACCAGATCAACATGGTGGAACGAGGAGCGTTTGACGACATGAAAGAACTAGAGCGACTGTGAGTGTCTCAGGGCTCTGGATGTGGTATGAAAGCTGGTGGTGGGGAAAATGCCAGAGAATGAAAAAGAGATGCAATTTCCTAATAGATACCTCCACTTTTTCTTCTCAACTAAACCATGCATTCACAAGCATGAGTTTGGGTTCCCTTTGGACTTCCTGTTCCTTGATAGATTAAAAGTGGAATTAAGCAGGGATAGGAAGAACACACCTTATGGTCAAAGGCAATCGATTCCATTACCTAGATCAAGAATAATTTCTCTCTGCCCCCACCCTCCTGCTCATATGAGCAGATGGTGCAAGATCTATGTGATTTTACACTCATCTTGAACAGCTTGGCTGGCATTTATACCCAGATGCTTCTCAATCTGTTTGCCATTCTTTTCAGGTCCAAAATAATTTTCAGCAAGAAGCATCGAATCAGGAACAGTGCACAGACCTGTCTCAGCAACATCTGCATGTTTTCTTCATAGCAACTGTAAAAAATACCACTTAAACACTTGCTGCTTCTCTCCTTAAACAGTTACCCAACTCTGCTACACTCAGAAAGATAAAACATTCCCAGTGCAATGTTGACTAATGTCCAATATCCTTAGAACCTCTCACCATTTAAGTTGGCATTTCTTGTAATAGATATATATATATATATTTTAAATTTGATTTATATGCCGCCCTTCTCCAGAGACTCAGGGCGGCTTACAATGCATTAAGCAATAGCCTTCATTCTTTTGTATATTTTTTATACAAGTCAGCTTATTGCCCCCACAAACTGGGTCCTCATTTCACCTACCTTAGAAAGGAGGGAAGGCTGAGTCAACCTTGAGCCTTGGAGAGATTCGAACCAGCAGAAATTGCAGGCAGCTGTGTTAATAACAAGGTGCATTAAACCACTGTACCATCAAGGCTCCTTGATATGTCATCTATAAAGTGCCACACACAATGAAAGCTTTCTGTTTACTTCTGGGTGTATTTTCTGTGTCACATTAGCCTTTTCCCCTATATCTGTACTCTTCCACCACCATCCCCATCCTCTAGAACAGGAGTGTCAAACTCACGCCGTGACATTGCCATCACGTGACATATCGCGACTTTCCCCCCCTTCGCTAAACCAGGGGTTGGCATGGCCAGCTGCGAGTTTGACACCCCTGCTGTAGAAAAAAAATCTGCCTCTATGGTGCTATTCTATGACTGACTACCTTATTTGCTCTTGCATCATTAATATTCTCTGCTATTCAGTGGTGGGTCTTATCCAGGAGGACAATGAAGATACCTATAGGGAAGAGGTGAAGGCTCTGGTGGACTGATGCAATAAAAGTAACCTGGTTCTAAATGTTAATAAAACAAAGGAGATCATTGTAGATTTAAGAAACAGTTGGCGTGGTCATACTTCACTCAGTATCAAGGATGCAGCTATAGAGGTGGTTAACAGTATTAAGTATCTGGGGGAGCAGATACGGTAACTAACGATCTGAACTGCTCTCTCCACACATCATCCTTAGTGAAGCATGCAAACCAGTGTCTGCATTTCCTGCATTGGATGAGGAGAGCACATCTTTCTGCTTCTGTCCTGGCCACTTTTTATAGAGGCACGATTGAGAGCGTTTCAACAAACTGCATCACTGTTTGGTTTGGTGGCTGCAGTGCCTCAGAGAGAAAGTCCAGAGCGTGGTATGGACAGCCAAGAAGATTATAGGAAGCTTGTTTTCTGTCATTCAGGATACTGTTTATAAGCCCTATGTGCTTAGAGCTCAAAGAATTGTGAGAGATCCCACACACCCACTTTACGGTCTGTTTCTGTTGCTGTACCACTACCAGTAGCTTTGATGGCATGGGATATGTTGAAGGTTATACTGCATCACTGGTAAATTAGAATATTTCATTGTAGACATTTTACAGGGTTTGTGTTGGTAATCCTTGGCTAATGTTCATGTTTTACTGCACATATCTATGTCCATTTGCATAGAGAGATTAATAAATATGGACTAGGAAAATTATTTTTTAAGAGCAGGGAAGCATTATTCCATTCTAGCCATAACATTTTGAAGATATCTTGCAGAAAACTGACAAAAATAATTGAATTGCCACATATAGTAGTCAGCACTATAATATCCCTAGGTTGAGGAAGTCCACCTGCTTCTAAATGTATCTAAGAATGCTTATGATGATTTCTTTCTCCACCCTCCATTTCTCTAGACGGCTAAATAGGAACCAGCTACACACTTTGCCAGAGCTCCTCTTCCAGAATAACCAAGCGTTGTCACGACTGTAAGTAATGTACTGCATTTTGTTCATTGCTTGTTATGTAATATTTTGCAACTTGTTCTCCTGAAAAATGATGGTGAATTGGTGCTGCCATTCATTCAGGCATTTAAAAGCATTTAAAGTGCTGGAAATAGGCGTCAGTACCATGATTCAGATGAATCATGCAAGCAAGTATACCAGGGGCGTCAAACAGGCGCAGTGGTGGGATTCAAATTTTTTTACTACCGCTTCTGTGGGCGTGGCTTGGTGGGTGTGGCATGGCTTGGTGGGCATGGCTTGGGTGTGGCAGGGGAAGGATAGTGTAAAATCTCCATTCCCTCCCCACTCCAGGGAAAGGTTACTGCAAAATCCCCATTTCCTCCCGATCAGCTGGGACTCAGGAGGCAGAGAATAGATGGGGGTGGGGCCAGTCAGAGGTGGTATTTACTGGTTCTCCGAACTACCCAAAATTTCCACTACCGGTTCTCCAAAACTGGTCAGAACTTGCTGAATACAACCTCTGAACTGGCGGCCCATGACCCAGATACATCATGCAGTGGCCATGCCTACCCCAGCTCCGTGAAGGAGAAAACTTCATGAAACATCACGTGACAGCAACGTGACACCATGAGTTTGATACCTGTGAAGTATACTAATGTAGCGTGAATCCTGGGGGTGACTTTGTTTTGTAGTTGTTCAATAAGAAACAGATAAAATTTGTTCAGTCTTTACCTATAGATGTTCTACTTCCTTAATACATGGGTACCAGATCAATACAAACCAATGTTTTTGCTTCCCTGTGCTCCTAAGATCCTTCTATATTTTAAGGAAGTCAAAAGCTATTTTCTATATTGTGTATATCAGAATTTATGCATTGTATATGCTAAGGTGAACATATTATAGTTCATATGTAAATACTGGTACTAGATGTGCTGAATTCTACCAAATGACATTTTAGGATAATAACTGAGATATGAAACTTGATTGGTAATCAGCTACTCATAGTGTTGATTGTTCAGTTGGCTGTACTTCTACAGGAATTTTTGGTGCAGTCTGATTGGTCTCCAAGTTAGGCATAGAGTAAGTATGACAATTGGGACAGGCAGAGTGCTAGCTACAAAGGAGCTCCATTGCATATCCAGATCCAGATACTCAAGTAATGAAAAGTACAAAGAAAGGAATAACTTCACATGCTGCACAGATGTACCTGGGTTGAAAGGATATTACAATTATGCCTCTTGCTAAATTGATATTGATACATTTTAGTAGCATAGTATACATGTATGACTCTTCGTGTACATTCATGTGAAGTATTTTCCAAATTGTTTCAGATGAGAAATTCATGAATGAGAACTGGATTTCTATCTTACAGAATTAAATGCTAATTTAAATATTTTATGTTTCTCATTAAGCAGATATGTAATTATTTGTTTTCATTTTTAATTGTCAGGAGTTAGAAAAGATAAGGGGATTATACCCTTTAAAAAAACTGTAAATAAATTAAAGGCAAAATGTACAAATGTAAAAAAAAAATCCCTTTTATATTTGTATCCCAAATTGCTTGTCCTAAAATATTTAAACTTCAATTTGTTGATAAAGCATCTTTATAATTATTGTGTTTCTGTATAGCTTTTCTAAATGCAAATGTAGCAATAAGTTAGATAATATGTTTCCTTCTATGATTGTTAACTATTAGCAAAACATAACATCATGTGAGAGGGGAGCACCTGCTGAGGCTCATTATCACATATTGGAAGGATGTGAAAAGAGCTTCTGGAAAAGCTTTTGAATCAGAAAACCTTCTTACATAATTAGTGAGTGCATGCTTTTCCAGTTAATGAAGGTAAGAGCACAAGTAGAAATTTTAAGTAGTATTGAACCTGAAGTGGATGCAAAAAGGTGACATCAGCTATACATCAGCTTTGGATTTTTGAGAATGTCAAGAGTGGCTGTGTTTGTATAGCATGCCAGACTAGTCTGTTAGGTAATTGACTTATCTGGGGATACACCAGCAAATCATCAGCGGATCTCAGCTGCATTTCCTTAACATGTTAATGAAAAACTGAAAATTCCACAGTGAGCTCATTGTGGTCTGAAGCATCACAGAGAGATAGCACTTAGTTTCCAGGTTCTTTTTGACTCATTTTTTGTTGGATTTGCATCCTTTATCAAAGAACTCAGGGAACTTTATACATTCCTTTCCTCACAACAATTTAGTGGGGTACATGGTCTGTAATGGGAGAAACAGGTTGAAAATGAATTCCTATGCATCTGAGGGAAGGGGATCAAAAATAAATCCACTAGATATGGTTTCCTTAGAGAAGTCCTAGTCTTCAGGGTTGCTTTTGGTTCGCATTTCAGTGAAGGCAGGCAGAAGTATCTCAAGTAAACTAGGATCACCATAGTTAGGCTGCAGAAATCTCTATCACCACAGAAAAAAAGGTATGGAGAGTCTCTTTCTTTGCTGCTATTTTATGGTTGTCCAGATTTCTACAGGCCAGATGTGGTAACCCAAATTTAACTCCAAACAATTTTGTGTCCAGTTTGAGTTAAAATGCTACGTTGTTGACTGGATTTTCATGTTTGTATAATACAGTAGCCCTAGTTTGAATCAGCACATCATTTGAATCCAGCTGATAAAATAATTTCATTTTTTCCTGTTTCCTTTCTTCTTCCCATTTCATCATCTCTTCTGTGCTATGTTTTTATTTTCCACAATATATACTTGAATAAAGAGTATTATTTGTACCTTAGGATGGGATAGGAGTTTTTATAACTAAAATTGATGCTTTAAATGATTTGTAACTTGCCCAATGACATGTTTATAATGTTTCCAAGGCCATATTTAAGTTTTATCAGAAAAAAAGTTTATTGAAATCAGAAGTGACTATTGATACATTTTATTTTCAATACATTTTTATTATCTGAAAATGTTTATAAAAATTGAATATCAAAGTTGTTTACATAGCATTTATGGTGTCAGAGTGCCCATAAATATTTTCCTGATTTTTACAAATGTAATTATTAAAGACAAATATTTTACAAGTGCATAATATTTAGTTCTGATATTACCTCTGAAGCTCATAATGGTAACAGAGACATTCTTAGGAAATAAAAATGCTGCACCCCAGGCCTTTGAGTCTAAGTGTGGTCATCTTTCCAGAAAAATAGAAAAACTTTGGCTAAGGTAATAGAAATCATATGGAGTAGGAGGAGTAGAGGGAATAATAGGACACAGCCTGACTAGTTTGCCTTCTAAGAAATGGTTATGACTGGGTTTGTCCATCCTGGTGATATTTTTGTGGGATAGTAGCCATGGGAGGATCTCACAATTCCAAATAGATATAAAGCTCACCTCCCCCTCCAATTTTTTTTGAAATTATGAGCTAATACAAATTAAAATGTATTAGGGACTTTTTTGTGCCTTGCATACCTGAATGGTACAGTTCTGAACACTGTGAATATGTGACAAATTGTCTACTAGTGTCTAAAGCCTATTCAAAGCTAAGAAAGATAAATTGGTAGTCCAACATAATATGGTAATTTTATAGTTTATCTACACAAGCCAGATTTTATAGTGGAAAGAGGCAGAAAGCCCAGTTTTCTTTATCATACATTTTTGGGTAGTCTAGTAATGAAGGAATCCAGCAGTCTCAACCAGTGGGTGGCATTCTCCCACCGAGGAAGTGCAGAGCTGAAGAAAGAAAACCAAGCTATCAAGGAGAGATTTGCTCTCCCCCCATTTTCCCTTTTAAGAAACCCATTTCCCTCTTTTAAGAAACCAAGTTGATTCCTATGGAATGCCAATTTGGTTTGGTAATAGGGGCTTCAGTCTCAGGGACAATTGGGGGATGGGGGGTGGAGGAGAGATGTGCAATCCGTTTCCCACTGCAGTCCAGGACTTGCTTCTCATCTAGATGGAAGATTTTAAGAATGAGAATGAAAGGAAGTACCAAGGAGATGGTTTCCTCTGTTTTGTAAGGAATAATATAAAAGGACAAGAGCAAGGGTAGGTCTGTGCTAACTCTCTAAAAAGCATGGTTTCTGAGGCAGCCGTTGCCAAGGTAGCTGATTACTTGATCTGGCTCACTGCCATTGGCCAATGACTTTCCTCCTTCAAGTTTTTAGACAGTTGCCCACTGTTGTTGGACAGTATCCCTCTCATAAATAAAACCATAGCCGTTTCTAGATTTATGAGGGATCAGTACATGTACATGTTGTGAATGGATTAAGCCCTTCCACACAAATCTATGTGTCCAAGTCCCCCTCTCTGTTCTAGCTGGATCTAGGTGACTTTCAGCTTTCTTTTCCTGTTAGAATACATCTTTCAAACTAGATTATATGTTACATTGTCTTATATGTTTCTAAACTTCATTATGTCTTCAAGGATTTTTGGAGAATACAAAATATAAATCAAAGCTACAAAGGATTGTATTATATTTAAATGGATTTTTCTGTCTTCTATTTGTTGTAATAGTGCATATGTTTGCTCTGAACCTAAAACTTAGGGGAATGCAAATGGCTACATGAGCTAAGGACATCCATGCATTATTTCTTGTACTGCATTGTATTTTTAAATGTCATGGAATTTTGCATACCTTAAATTTCTTTTCAATGCATTGAAGCACAGGATTTTGTTTGTTTATAGGTTACCCATTTCATTTTGAAAATGAGCAGCATGGAGCCACTGAGGTTTAGCATGATAGGCAATTTTACTATTGATTGCTATAGAACAACTGTAAATTTCAATGGTCTTTATGTTCAATTTATTTATAATAAGACACAGAAGTTAGATCAGAAAGAAACATCACACAAAAATTGCTATAGATCCAAGATACCTCTCCTGTCTGGAATTCTGAAAAATAGGTTGATGTTTCAATTATTTGTGGTGTTAGCAGTTATATCAAATGTTTTGTGGATTTTCTACTCCCTTTTATTTAGCTTTAACTTGAATTAAAATTTTAATTTGATAGAGGCTGTCAAATAAAAATAATATTGTATAAACATCTAACTTTAAGGAACTT